TGATCTGAGTTCTCCTAAGATACTCCAAAATCACTTTTACCTTGTCCAAGGCATGCTGTACCAAATTCGGACCTAAAATCTTCTTCTCACCCAGTTCGAACCATCCAATAGAAGAATGACATGGTCTACTATATAAAGCTTCATACTGTGTGATATAAATACTGGACTGGTAGCTATTATTATAAGTAAATTCTAAAAGAAACTAATCACCTCAATAGTCTCCAAAGTCAATGAAACGTTCTTAACATGTCCTCTATGATCTGAATGACCCGCTCGGATTGACCATTGATCTGATTAGGTGAAACGCTATGCTGAATCTGGGTACCTAACTCCATGTAAAAAGAATGTCAAAACTAATCTGTGAATTGTGAACCTCTATTAGAAATGGTAAAAACATGCACCCGTGAAACTGGACTATCTCACGAAGATTACAACCGCATTAACTTCTCTACTATGAAGGTAGTCTAAACTTGTAGGAATTAAGCTGACTTAGTTTGTCAACTATCACCTAGGCTGAGTCATGCTTCTTCAAAGTATGTGGGAAGCCTACCATGAAGTCCATAGTGATGTTCTCTCACTTTCAGTTAGGAATAATCAAATTTTGAGCTAATCCACCTAGTTTCTGATGCTCATACTTAATTTGACGACAATTCAAATAAACTGAGTCTTCTTCATTTTTCCCACCAAAAGTATTTCTTCACGTCTTGGTATATCTTCATAGCACCTGTTGAATAAAATACCGTGAGGTACATACCTCTTCAAGGTTGCGATATCACAAATCACCCACATTGGGCATACAAAGGCGTCTACAAAGTCTCATAACCCCATCATCCTCTATGACAACCTTCTTGGCATCTCCCTGAAGTATTTTTCCCTTCAAAGTGATCAAGTGTGGGTCCTCATATTGATGAGCCTTACTATGATCCAACAACATAGATTATGCAATAATGGAATAAAATACTCCACCATACTATGAAGAATCTAACATAATACCTCGAATGGCTGAGAACTAGAAGTCTCTAGCCATAGGACGTCTCTTTAGTATCATGAAAGACAAAGTACCCATAGACTTTCTACTCAAAGCATCTACCACGACATTGACTTTTTCTAGGTAAAACAAGATAGTGATATCAAAATCTTTAAGCAACTCAATCCATCTCGGTTGCCTCCAATTTAGATCTTTTTCTTGAAGATGCACTATAAACTCTTATGAATGAAAAACCTAACATGGCTCGTCATACAAGTAATGACGCCATAGCTTAAGTGCAAACACAACTACCGCAAGCTCCAAATCATGAGTTTGGTAGTTCTTTTCATGATTCTTTAATTGCTTAGAGGCGTAGGTAATCACACTACCCTGTTGCATCAAGACACAATAAAATAACCTCGAGAAACGTTGCAATATATTGTATAACTACCTTTACCCTTAGGTATGGTCAATACTAAGGATTTATTTAACACGATCTTAAGCTTTTGGAATCATGACTTATACTCTTCTAACCAAATGAACTTGACCTTCTTCCAAGTCAACTGTGTCCAAGGTGTTGCTATAGGAGAGAACCCCGCAAGAAAGTATTTGGCATAGCCCGGTAAACCAAGAAAACTCAGAATCACTATGGGTATAGTAGGTCTAGGAGAACTACCTAACTACCTCGATCTTCATAGGATCAAGCTTGATACTATCTTGAGAAACCACATCACCTAAGAATGTTATAATATCAAGTCAAAACTCACATTTGGAGAACTTGACATACAACTCATTCTCCTTAAGTTTCTTAAGCTTGCTCTTAAAGGGTTGCACATGATCCTCCTCACTATGAGAGTAGACAAATATGTTATCTATGAACACAATGACAAAAGTATCAAAGAATGGCTCCCGATTCATAAGATTTATAAAAGCTAATGGCCATTAGTCAGGCCAAAACACATGACTAGGAACTCAAAATGATCATATCTAGTCCTGAAACTATCTTGGAGATGTCTTCCGTCTTGATCTTCAACTGATGATAACCCGGCCTTAAGTCAATGTTAGAGAAGTGGGTCTCACCTTGCAACTAGTTGAATAAATTATCTTTACGAGGCAAGAGTACTTGTTCTTGATTATAACCTTGTTTAGCTGCCTGAAGTTAATACCATATGCATAAAACCATCTTTATTCCTTATGAATAATACATGAGCACGAGCACTCCATGGTGATGCACTAGGCCTGACGAACCAGTTATCAAGTAAATCAAGTATTTGTTATTTTAACTTCCTCAACTCTATTGGATCCATACGATATGGGATAATAGAGATAGGTTGAGTCCGTAGTAGCAAATATATGCAAAACTTAATCTCCCGAATGGGTGGTAACCTTGGTAAGTTCTCCAGGAATACTTTGAGATATTCACAAACAATAAGAATACTATCAATAATAACATTCTTAATTCTAGTGTCCTGTACTGTAGCTATGAAGCCCAAACAACTCTATCTAATCAACCTTTGTGCCTTAACATAATATATGATCATCTTCTCATGCATGGCTATGGTACCTTTTCACCCCAACCTCGGTTCACCTGGAATCTCAAATCTCAAGTTTTTATTATGTCAATCAAGTGTAGCATAATAGAAGATAAAAAATCTATGAACACAATGATATCAAAGTCAACTATCTAAAGTACTATAAGGTTTACCAAAGTACCTCAACCCTAAATTAATACCTTACAGCTCCGGTATAAGTACTCTACAAGTATAGAATCACTCACTAGGGTCAATACCAAGAAAGTCTCAGCTAACATCTCAAGTGGTCTCTGCAAACAAATAACAAAATAAGGAGACACATATGAATAAGTAGAGACAGGATCTATCAACACAAATACCACATGCGAACACATTATGAGCATACCTATAACTCCTACATTACATGTATTTTCATCCTGTTTGGCCATGGAAAAGAAACAGGGAGGTCCCCATGTTCCCTACTATCCTTCAAGCCCCTAAGCTCCCTGCCTACGCTCCTTGAACCCCTAAGCTCCTTGCCCAGCACCTCTCTAACTACTACATGGCACTTTAACTGGTTAGGTTGCTATTGGAGCATTGTTATGGCACCCTGTCGTTGTGGTATTGGCTGACTTGTGACACTACATCTAAGGCAAGAACTAACATAGTTTTCCTATTTCTCACACGTAAAACATCCTATAGTATCTTTCTTACATGGGTTGGAGTACCTCTTGCCACACTCCACACAATGAACCAATGAAGAACAAAACGTCTTTGTTGTTGTTGTTAACCTTAACAGCCTGATTATGGACTAGGTGAGAACTAAGACTAATGTTGTGAGGCTGATTGATGTGAAACTAACTGAGGTGGTCTAGACGACCCCCTAACTTTGCTCTCGGATGGAGCTGCACTAAGTACACCAATTATACGGGACTTCTTGATCTCCCTCTCAACTTAATCCTATAAGTAGCAGGGCTCTCTACGAGTGACCATGTTCATCACCTCACAATACGTAGATCTCCCACCTCTTAAGCTAAAGTTGTATGGTGATATGAGTCAAGTCCAATAACAAACATCCTAACTATCTCTTCCTTTTTTAGAAGTAAATCAATAGCATAACATGATAGTCTAGTAAAATTTGCATCATAATATGCCGCGGACTTGTCACCCTGCCTGAGCTGCTCAAAGGTACAACGTCTAGCATCAGAATTAGTAGAAAAAAGAAACTTGTTTATGAACAAAGTCACAAATTAATCCCTAGTGAATGGTGGGGCCCCGCCCTCCTATTGTGAATGAAAGTATTTCACCAATTCTCAGCAAACCTAGAAAAGTGAATAATGTGAACTCAACACCATAAGTCTTAAACATACCCTATGTAACCAAGATCTTCTCACAACCATCTATGAAAGCTTGTGGTCCCTCTGTTGTATGTACACCATCAAAAGTAGGAGTTTGGAACTTCAGAAATCCCTTAAGCTCTTCTGTTTGTCCAGATCGAGATCCTGAAGTTATGTGACCATCAACTTGCTCAACTATAGCAGGTGGTGCTAATGCTGATTGGACGTGGAGCTACACCAGGTGTAGGTGGTGTCTGAAATGATGGATCAATATGATGCTTCGGTGTAGCTATAACTAGGGTCTGAATACCCTTGCACCATGTGTCCAAGACATAGCTAAAAGCGTAAGTATCCCTTCAAGACGTGGAACAAGAGCCCCTTATGTTGATACCATCCTCACTAATAGCTCTGGTGGAATTGAAACTGAAATGCCTTAACTAGGGGTGTTGGTGGTAACTACCACAATTGTCTACTCGGGTAGTGCCTCTTTGGTGGCTGAACTTTCCCTTGGTGTGATAGCTCTCTTAGACATTGTGTCAAAAAATCCTAAAAAAGCAACTGATTACAAATCTAGAAACCAAAATTTAACAATCTAAAATGGGGGTTACACAATAAAAATGTGAAAATGATAGGAAGAAAAATAAAATGTCAATAATGGGTTAGTGAGATAAAAATAAAAATTAGTACACAAAAAGCTAAAGGAAATGAAAAGTTTGATGATTTTAGAGAGAGAATAAGGTTTTTCGAAAAAGAATAGAAAGGAAAAATAACATGAGCAAAAATGCGGGGGTACCTATCCTATTTTGGGCTAGCTGGTTTTACCAATTTAAGAGCCTAGATTTAAGGGATCCTCTATTTCTCTTAAACTAGTGTTAGAACCCGCGCAATGCGCGAATAATTTGACAAAATATTAATCTTATCGGATTATGATATAATATATCATATTATGTTAATAAATATGTAGTTGTTATTTGTAAACTGCTTTAGAACATTTGAAAGAAGAAAGAGAAGATATGGGTGCAGTGGATTCATGCATACTATATAAAAGATAACAATATATGGGATACTGAACCAAAGAATGCCTCCTGGGTAATTCAGAAAATATTCAAGGCCAAGGCACAATTTCAAGAGGCTGGATACTCAGAGGATGATGTGAGGTACAGTGACAGTTTTTCCACCAAAAAGATGTACAAAGCACTGCAAGGGGAATTCCAAAAGGTGACATGGAGATGCTTAGTATGCAACAACAAGGGAATGCCAAAGTGTATTTTTATCCTAAGATTAGCTATACAAGACAGGTTAGCTACTAAAGAAAGACTAGCAAGATGGGGCTTAGTAGATGAAACTTTGTGTACAATGTGCCACAGGAACAATGAAACAATGCATCACTTATTTTTTGACTGTGATTATTCAAATGAGATATGGCAGAAGTTACTATCCTGGCAAGGGGTCATGAAAAGGAAAAAACAGTGGAAGGAAGAAGTTCAATGGGCAGAGAAGAAGGCAGCAGGGAAGAGTGCAGGAGCAGAGATATACAGAATGGTTTTGACTGCAACAGTCTACCATATTTGGCAAGCCAGAAACAGTATTATTTTTCAGAAGAAACAAGTTAATGCACAGAGTATAGTGAAAACGATAGTTCAGGAGATGCATATAAGAGCTCAAAATTGTAAAAAAAAAAAAAAAACTGGATACTTATCTAAGTAATATGAATTGGTATCTGGTATGAGCTAAGTAAGGATTGTAATAGGAGTTTAAGGAGTAGAGAAGAAATCTCATGCTGGGGCTTCATGTCCAGCAGAAGATGTCTGTAGTTGGATGTTTGTAAGCTGTAAATATTTACTTGGTAATAAAATTCTTTAATTACAAAAAAAAAATATGTAGTTGGTATTTTGTTATTTAATATAGTTTATTCCTTATTTAATCTTTAGTAAACTAGTATGTAATTAGTACTATATATTTACTAATGTGATTTTTTATTAACTAGTCAATTGGCTTAATATTTTGATACGACTTCTCTTTTAATATAACATAGATATATATTTTTAATTTTTTTTAAAAAACTTAGCTTATATTGTTCAAAATTCTTCAATTGTCTAAATTAATCAATAATTTTTTTGAGCGTTATTTATTTATCTTTTATTTTTTAATTAATACATAAGAAGTTAAATTGTATATTTATATATTTTATTTATTTCTTAAAATTATTATTTATGTTTTTATCTTTAGTTTTATCTTATCCATGTAGCATATAGCATGACCATATGAATTATTATTCAAAAAAAATCTCATGTTAAAAAACAAATTAGCCTTATCATTTTATATAGCTCTACATTGAAATTATATAGTTATATATTATTTTATTTTTATAATAGTTTTCTTAAAAATATATCGATATTTAACTATTTTAAATTTAAATTCAAAAAGAGTAACTAATCTAACTAATTTTGTCCTAAATTTGACACCTGTTGAATTTTTATGATGACACTTGGCATCATCATATTGATTTGATTCTCATATTCCATATAGATAGATTCATGTAGCATATAGCATGACCGTATGAATTATTATTCAAAAAAAATCTCATCTCAAAAAATAAATTAGTCTTATTATTTTATATATCTCTACTTTGAAGTTATATATTTATATTTTTGTCTTTTTTATAATATTTTCCTTAAAAATATATAGATATTAATTATTTTAAATTCAAATTCAAAAGGAGTAACTAATAATTAACCTAACTAATTTTGTCCTAAAATTTGACACTTGTTAAATTTTTATTGTAGCATTTGACATCATCATATTGATTTACTTCTCCTATTCTATATGGATTGTTATAAATGGTAAAATATTATTATGTTAGGAAATTAGGTGTAAAATAAAATTGAATTCACTAACTTTATTTGTAATAAATTTTGTAAAATATAAGAATTTCTATCTTCCATAAAACTAATCCTTATAAAATAATAGTTTTTTATTCCAAAATTTGAAAGAACTTTTTCACCAAAAGAAAAATAAGTTTCAATTTTTTCTTCAAAATAGTATCGATATTAAATTTCATTTAATTCCATGAAATAGTGCGGGCTATAATAAACTCAAAATATATTAGTCCAAATAAATATTATGGAATAATATAATTGGATTAATTATGAAAATTCAATAAATATGAATTTAATTAAAAATCCAAATTCATTGGATTAACCTATGTAATTGACTACAAATGATGAGCCCATATTGTTAATTCTGAGATGTCATATCCTAGAGGCCTAAATTGGTGTCATGTATAGGGTGACGTGACAAGCGAAGTCAAATAAAAAAAGTCAATAGAATGATTTTACATGCCAAAATAACATGACATGCTTAGTTAGATCGAAAGCCAATGAAGACGCACCACATATGACAATAACATGTTTCGCTCTATCTAATGCAGTCTTGTCACTGATTCAATCGATTGGTCAAGAAAAATTTATCCTCATTACAATTCTTCCCTCTGAAAATATAAATAGGAATTTTCATAACTCAAGAGACCAGAATTCAAACAAAAAGCAAGAAGGAACTCATGGATCAAACTTCACATTTTTTTTACAAAGCTACATAAATTCAAACACGAAAGAAATCAAGTTCAAATTCAAGAATCAAGAAGTATAAAATCTAAATTATCTGTTCGTACTAAGGGTGGGCATAAAATCTGAAAAATCAATTTCGAACCGAACCGAATTAATTTGGAATTTCGCCTTCGAGTTTTTCGGTATTTCGATTTATTTCGGTACAAAAATTACGGTATTTCAGTAGTTCGGTATGGTATACTGTATTTAGTTTTTGATATTTCGGTATACCGAAATATCGAAATATTTTAGTCTAACCCAACATTATTTTTATTTTTTAGCCCAATAACCTTAATCCCATACCCCAAAAGTTTTTTTAGAGTCTTAGAGGCAGACAAGAAAAGAAAAAGCTACGGGCAGTGTCACACCTCCTTTTTCGCCCGCACCGCCCGCGAAGGGGCGCGGAAGAGAGTTTTTTCCAATTAAAGGACAATCGAAACGGGATTTATTTATTTATTTCAGAGTCGCCACTTGGGAGATTTATGGTGTCCCAAGTCACCGGTTGAATCCCGAATCGAGGAAAATATTCGACTTTCCAAATGAAGTCTGCGAACCAGAAATTCTAAGTAAGGAATTATGTTGACCCGAGGGAAGGTGTTAGGCACCCCCGAATCCCGTGATTCTAGCACGGTCGCTTAAACTGTTGTAATGGCTAAATATCTGATTTTAATACATATTACAATTTATGTGCATTTATCAACTTTAAATCGCTTTTATTATTATTTTTAATAGAATTGCAACGTCGTGAAAATGCGTTTCAAACCACGTCGCAATCAATGCACCCGTGGTTGTTGACACATTTTGACTCCGTTGAGATTTGGATTTGGGTCGCATAAATGCGCACCCGAGTTTAGGTATGTAATATTATTAAAATCGTGCCTAAAGAGTCTAACGCTTTATTATTTTTGGGGAAGGCCGTGAAATTGGCTAAACGGCCCATCCCGAAGTCTAAGTATTCAATTAAACATTTATCGAGGGCCCCAAAATTTGTGCGTTTTATTGGGCGAGGCTCGGCTCATTTATTTTAAAAGGATAATCCTAAAGTGCCTACATTTTTTTTATTAAATTTGTCTCTAAAAAATGAAAGTGAAAAGGTCCTAATTTATGTACATGCTTACGAGTTGTTATAGTCGGGTTCAGAACGCAATTTGTTAAATCAGAATGTAAACATAATATGGACAGCCCATTGGCCAATGTGGACCCAGAACCAACGTGTATGGCACAAAATTGGACCTGGGTCATCTCATTCACATGTTACTACTTAGTTACATTATACTAGGCATGCTCACAGTTTGTCAAATTTAAAAAAAAAACTTGGCAATCTAATTTTAATCCTAAACCATTTACATGCTGAAATTAACCAACAATATCTAGCTAAACAATATTCCTACAAGTTCCGAAACGGTTTATTCTTTTAATGAGCTAACTGTTGAATGTTTAAGAATAGTCTAAATCAGCTAACATGCTTTTTTTGAGACATGATAATCATCCAACAATAACGAACTAACTGGATAGAGTTACTACACCGTTTATTTATTTTTTAGCAATACATAGACAATTCGTCCACTAAGCTATTGTCAGATGTTCCATTATATATATTAAACAACTACATGATTCTGATATTAGGAAGCTAAATAATGTACATATACAAATAAAATTCAGAATATAACTAAGATAAATTCAGAACTTCAACTCTTCATTTCATATTCATGCTTCATGTTTCAGTTTACAGTAACCAGCGTGTCAGTTGTGTACCTGATATTGGAAGCAAAAGAAGAGGAAGATCAGCAGAAATGCAGTAGCATACAACAACAACACCCAGCAACAGATTTAAAAACGAGCAGAAATCCAGCAACAACCAGTGAAGTAGTAGCAAATAACCAACCAAACTCAAGGAAACAAATCAAATGAAAATTCTGAAACACCAACAACAATCAATGGGCAGAAACAAAGTGAATCTTTTTAGATTGAAAGACCAGTTAATGTTTAACCCTTAAATCTTGACCCCTCTGTATGTCTAGTGTATGCAGATTGTATATCGGGTGTATACTACTCTCTCTTTCGAATCTTCTTCGAAATTTTTCTCAATATTCAGCCAATCCCCTATCCCCTTTCAATATTTTTGGAATTTTCTCTCTCTTTTATGTCCAGCTCTCTTCTTCTTCTTTTTTTCTCTCTTATTTCTCTGTCCTCCTTTTTTTCTCTCCCTTTTTTTTTTCTCTCTCTTCTTTCTCTATCCCTCTATATCTGTTCAAGTCTCTCTATTTATCTCCCATCCCAAACCCTTTAATCAATTAATCAAATAATAAAACAACCACTTTCTCTTACCAAACCCATTACTACATAAAAAATACAATTATTATTTATTTAAATAACTTTTCTTGAGCCTCAATCCCATTATGTCTTGTTCCCCATTTTTTATGAAACAAGTACATTATTCTCCATCATTATGTCTTGTCCCCCCATTATTGATTATTTTAATATTATTTTAATCTTAATGGACAAAGCACTCAAAATAAATAATTGTTCAGAATTTTAATTCCAAAAATACCCCTCTGACCTTACTGAAATTACCATTTTGACCCTGAAAACATTGTAATTTACCAATCTACCCCGTCAGCCATAACAAGTTCAACTAATCAATTCTAACCAAAATATAGCAGCTATAACCAATTCCTAATCATATTTTGTAAACAAACTCAAACTATATAATGAACAACAAAGAAACAACTGGAATTATTTTGATTGAACAATCTTTTTAAACGACAAATCTATTTTCAGATTCACCAACAATAACAAACAAATATATTCAAAGCATGAGCTCAAATTCAAATTAAACTTAAACAAAAATAAATAAACAGATTCAAATCACTAAACTCAAATAATCAATTGATCTTCAAATTAAATCCAACAAAATTACAACAAAGATACATGATTCAAACTAAATTAAAAACTAAAACATATACTCACATTAAATCACTGGATTAAAACGAACTTCAAAATAAAAAAATGAACACGAATTAAATCTAAATTAAACAACAAAGAACGGATTCAAGCGATTTAAACTAACACTCTTCTATATTAAAACTAAATCCTCTTAAA